GAAAATGAATAAAATGAAGATGTATCAAATGATTGTTGTTGTATTTGTTGTCGTATCATATTATTTGAACTAGTTGGACGTCCATCAAGCATATTTAATAATGGATTAATTCGATGTGAACTAGTTAATTGTTTGTTAATTGGTGATGTTTTTGGACGAAATAAATTTTCATTAAGATTAATAACAGGATCAGAAGGTTTTTCACGTCCATTTTCTAGTAATAAAAGTAATGGACGAAGTGGTTTAGATGAAATTTCATTTGATAATGATGATGATGATGTTGTTTGTTTACGAAGTATAGGTTTTATTTTTTTTCGTCTAAGTTTAATTGATTCTATAAAATATTAAATTAAAATTAAAACTTTATACATAAAGATAACACTGATAGTGATCTATAATAGTTGTCTAATATCGAACGTGCAGTGCAAATTTCTATAGAGCATGTAAACATGACTTATTTTTCTAATAGAAATACTTAGAGGTATCCAAAAGTAGTGGCACCATTACCGAATTTTCTTTCTTTATGAAAAGATAGAGCGTCTTTCACTCTATTTTTCTATGCTATTTGATCACTATTCAAGTGATATCATAATAATAAAATTTCGGTAAAAACTGTTTTTTTGTTGAAAAATAGCCGGTGGCATTCGATCATAATGGATGGAACATTTTTGTATTTCATTTTATTATCATTTAATAGGTTGTATTAAAAAAAACGAAATATACCATAAGATGCAGCGTGAAAAACTCTACAATTTATAAAGGACGGCTTATTTTATAGTTGCTCTTTTTATTGTCAAAATGGACGAAATTCTGAGCGACAAAATTTCGACATCAGAAAGACCAGGTGCCTTTTTTGGTAACAGACGAAATCGTTTTTTCTTATCACATCTTTTTATTATCAGATCTATTGTATTAATAAAAACCAAAATACACTACAAGACGCAGCGTGAAAGGCTCTACAATTTACAAAGAACCATTATGAAAAGATGCGATAGATGAAAAAAAAGAATGCGTCTTTTACCAAAAAACAATCCCATTCTTGCAACATCAAAATTCGGTCGGTCAGACTTTCTTCTATTTTGACAATAAAAAGAGCAACTATAAAATAAGCCGTCCTTTACGAATTGTAAAGCTTTTCACGCTGCATTTTATGATATATTTCGTTTTTTTTAAATACAACCTATTAAATGATAATAAAATGAAAAGCAAAAGTGTCCCATTCTTTTATGTCACATCCATCATGATCCAAATGCCACCAGCTAGTTTTCAACAAAAAACAATTTTTACCGAAATTTTATTATTGTGATATCACTTGAATAGTGATCAAATACCATAGAAAAATAGAGCGAAAGACGCTCTATCTTTTCATAGAGAAAGAAAATTTTTTCAACATTTCCATAAAGAAATTTGGTAATGGCGCCACTACTTTTGAATCTCCCTAAGTATTAGCTTTTTGTACTGCAAAAATAAGAAAGATCATTTGCAATGAAAAATCCCTAAGACGGATCCTTATTCTAAACTCCTATGAAAAAATTTTTTATTTCAAAAAAGTGGCAAATAGTATATCAGTCGATGCCAAATATGTCTTTACTTTTCTCTCGAAGTGCTTCTGTGACAAAGAAATTGCGAAAAACTTTTAGAACATTTGTACATCTTTGCGCTAACTGTACATATGTCCGAGATATAGAAGAACATTGTTTGAAAGTTTCGTCGATATCAGATTAGTGATGGTCAACTTTTGCTGAGGATGTCTTTTCGAAAAAAAAAAATTTATTATTTTTTCAGAACGAAAACTTTTCTTATAACTCGATAGAGCAGAAGTCCTAGTTTCAGATTTATTGTCCAATTCTTCGTATTTTTTACGACAAAGTTTTTTCAATGAATTTAGCAACTGAGACAAAATTTTCTTTTAGTTGTTAATCCAAGTATATAAACTACGATTCAAATTCACGTTGTTATCTACTGTGTACAATATTCTATTCCAATGGTTGTTTCATCAATGCCTCTTCTGAAAATGCTATGGCGAGTAAAAGCTTCAGAAAATTCTCTGCGTTAGTAATAACATACAATTTGAAATTAACTAAAGTTTATTTATTTATTTATTTTTTTCGTTCTTCTTTTTTTTAATTTTATGATGTCTTATAAATAATAATCACTATCGATGACTACGTCATCAAAACTTTCATATGTGACATTGATACACATGAACTTTTCTTTCTACAATTTAAATTCATTTTTCTGATTGTTCAAATTCAAAGCTAACAATGAGATCCCTAACAATCAATGTTTGTTTTGATCTGTCAGAACGAAATAGTATTGATTGTTTGCAATTTCATTGCTAATTCTGATTTAAATAATGAATTCATCAAAATTAAATTTTTATTTTAAACGAGAAAAATTTCAATTATTATGTATTGAGAAAAGAAATAATTAAATTTGATTAAATTATAAATAAACAAACCTATTAATTCTTTTGCTTCATCTTGTGCTATTTCATGTGCATGTGCTTGTTTCCATGCTTGATATGCTCGATTTGGTTTAATAACTCGAACAACATTTGTAAAATGATATCTTAAACCTTGTTCTTGTCGATGTATTCGAGCAATATGTGATTCGAAATCATCATGTAATAAAGTAACATTACGTTGTAAACGACGATATTCAAGTTTATTAAGACGTGTTGCTTGAATCTGACATGCGCTTAAAACAACTGCGCCTCTCCTACTCTTCCTCATATTTGATTTGTAACTTTTTCTTTTTTCAATTTTATTATATGAAAATGGAAAAGAAACCTTAGATTTTCTTCTTTTTTTTCTTTTTCTTTTCGCGCATTATAAACAAATCTATGAAATAATGATGTATGAAGAAAACTATTATAATCAAGATTCAGATCTTGTAAAAATTAATGATTCATCTCAAAGTAATCCAATTATAATATATGCTCATCAACTTAATCAATATTATCATACATTACTTGGTAATCCATTTGAACGATTAAAATATTATGATTCATCAATAGAACAATATCATTTTTATCGAACACCTGGTATTATTAATTATATAATTACATATTATCTTTATCATGGTTGTTTATTAACAGAAATACATTATCCAGTTGAAATTCTTTATGATGAACTTGTATTTTTTGGTTTTAATATTCAAATTATTTATGATATTATTTCAAATTGTATTACTATTGATTATTATATTCCTTCTGGTAAATTAAACATTATTCTTTTACAAATTTGATATAACGGGTGGTCCGAAAGTTTTGAGACAAAATGTTTGTCCATTTTTCACCACCTCAAAAGTATTCTAGAAGGATGCAAAAAGGTGGACAAGAATCAGAATTTAATGCTCTTTCCGAATATGAGTTCAGAAATTCTGTGCCTATTTTTGTTTGGAAGCAATGAGGAAATCATTGAATTGCTTTGAAGGTTAGTTTGGACAAAAATATGTTTTGTACATTTTTGTATTTTTACTGTTCTAAGTCGAAACTTAATGTTGTAACTTTGGTTCATATATCAGATTGTAGAGCAAATTCTGCCCTACAAAATGCGCTATTTCAGTTTCTTTTTATTTTCTTACAAATCCTCTAAATTTTCGTTTCCTTATTACCCTCGTTTTTGAAAAATCGATTTTTTAATTAAAATCCATCTCATGTAAAAATAGCCTCTCAGAAAATGTCTATAATTTTACTTGTATAAAAGCTATATTGGAGTTCGACATTTCATTTTGTAGAGGACTGTCTGCTCAACAAAATTACCATACTCAACCGTTTTTAGCATCCTCGCATAGGACTCACAGAAGAAAAAATGCCGATGTGGGGTGTGGGTGTGGGTGGGTGTGGGTGTGGGTGGGTGTGGGTATGGGTGTGGGTGTGGGTGTGGGTGTGGGTGTGGATGTGGGTGGAAAGAGACGATACCCACAGCCACACCCACTCCCACACCCTACACCGGCTGAATATATCAATTTATATAAAAGGATTTACCACATGAATATTATTATTTCACACAGATATATATTTTGAATGTTCTGACAGTCAATCATGAGAACCAGTTCGCTCAATACTAAAAATTAATCTACCTGAATTACCTGTCAAAATTTGATGTTGAAGCTACAACAGATCCGTCAATGATGCTACACTGCAGAATATCATGTGATGATGTTGACTGTCCATTAATAACAGAATGTTTCTTAGAAATGTCTGATAAAAATGGTAAAATTAATGAATGAATACAAAAATAAAATGAAAATGACTATAGCATAATTTTTGTGTTGAAACTGTAAATTCCGTTGCATAGAATGAAACAAAATTACATGGAAAAGTAGGATTTGGGTGCGGATAGATGTGGGTGGCGAGGTGTAGGTGATCGGATGTAGGATGTGAGTGTGGGTATCTTCTCTTCACCCGCTCACTCGCACACTCACATCCAATTTTTCGGCATTTCTTGCTTTTTATACATTTTTTAATCAGCAAGAATGGAGTTTAGTCATGATTCCATTTTGAATGTTTGAACGCGTTCTCTCAAATCTTCGTCTGTTCGGGTAGAAACAACACGACAGAAAGACTATTATCGTCGTGTTAGGTAATCCAAATATGAGAAGAAGACCTCCTGCTTTAGAAAAGTCAGTTTTTCGAGGTTTATACATATTCTGATAGTCCTTGCAATTGGCTTTAAGCTGCCATAATTTTCTTTTTGTCAAAAGAAGAAGTTTAGGTTCTTTTTCTGGTCAGTTTTTTCAGGAGGTCAGCTGAAACAGGAATAAATTAAAAACTTTTTGTCGTTTTATCCAAAATCAGTTTTCTCAAGTACGCCGTTTACTCAGACAAATCTTTCTCAGCAGCGATTCAATGTAAAGATGGAATTGTTTTTTTTATTACATAGTAGATAGTTAGGACTAGGTCGTATCAGAGCCTGATTTTTGAATTTCTCTTTTGCTGAAATAAAAAACTTAAATCTTTGATCTTAATTACCAATTTTTTGCTCATGCATTTGAGGATTTTTCGAAAAAGCTTTTTAAAAAGCAAACAGAAGAAACTTCAAAATCGGGCTCTGATACGACCTAGCCATGACCTCATCCTATTTCAGATGTGTCTCTGACCACGCTCGCATGCACGAGCACTAATAGAAATAGAACGAAAATTTCGATCGAATACAAACAATTGTTTATTAGTTAGTTAGTAATAATAAAAGCCACCAATTATTAGTTATTTAAATCGATTGTCTTTTCGTTGCAGTTGTTCTTCAAGTGACGACGAAATATTGTTTTCATAGAAGAGATGCAGATCCGTGAGTGTCTGTGAATAGAGGGAAAAGTAGAGATGAAGAGGAAATGAGGATCAGCTTGTCATTTCGTAACACATCAGCGACAAATTGGGCTCCAGCATGTCCGATTTGATTGCTGTAATGCACACTCATAGCTACACGTACATTCACATCCACACCCACACCTACATCATATAAAGTAGTTTTTAGTGCTGATTCCGAATATGATATTCGTTTTGGATTGAGGTAGAAATGAGATTAAGATCCAAGGTCGACATTGACTGTAGAATAGTCTTGAAATGGTCACGTTGTTGCAATGTTTTGATGAAAATGGGCCTTAGAAGAGAATAGTTTTTTCTGAAAACTATACAAATTTAGAGAACGTGAGACGGAACACTTTTTGATCAAAAAGATTTTTAGTTCTCAATTCGTTTTTTAAATATAACAGTACCCTACAAAAGTATCTGCGTAATATGAGAATTGTACTTATCGTACCCATGTCATCCTACATAATCTAAGAGAGAAGTTGAAGATA